CGACCTTTCAGTTCGACATCTGGAAAAAGGATTTCGACTCAACGACCAGGAAACAAACCAATTCTTGGCTGCCAAAAGTAGATGGCGCAGGTTTTTGAAACGCATGATTTTGTCAATAGTAGATGGCTGCGTTCCAGCTTTCAGGAAGACTAGCGCCATCTACTATTTATAAACGACCCCGCGACCCGATGTGCCATCTACTGTTTTTCACAACTGGGGTTGAGCCATCTACTCTCAAATCAGTGTACTTCAGATCATGTGCCTTTCAGAATGCCTGACCCAAGATGTAAAGATGTGAACGTCTCCTGATTTTGTGGCAACAGCTTCCCAGATTGTTGAGCTCAACTCTCTAACCCAACTCTGCCTCGCTGCGTGGACAGGGTGCCGCATGTCGACTCTGGGTTCACTTTGAATCTACACTTTGAGCCTTGGCAGCGGCTGCCGGTCGCAGCCTCAGTACGCGCAGCATTGTCTGTTGTCTGTTGCAGCCGCATTTTGTTGTCATGTTTGCACCACGCTTAATTGTCCATCATGGAGTCCCTTGATGGACAAAGATGTTTCCTTCCTTACGATCCGAGAGTTCTCGCAAACCCATGAACATATTCAATGGAGTAATTAGGACTGTAGCACGCATCATTAGCATGTACTTGCCACAGTCATGATTCCTGTTGCAGAGATTGTGCCAAGACAGCCACCATTTCGCGGAGGCTTTGCCTTGTCGCACCAGCAACGGGCGGTTTAATGAACCCAGCAAAGTGCTTCAACTAGTTGGCTTCATTTTGAACAGAGAACAAGCCTGCAATGAGTTACTATGTACATGCCGTCCATAACGGGTCCCCCATCGAATGTCATACTGCGAAGCGTTTGCTTGCTTCGAACTGAGCCAGCTGCCATTGCCTCGACGCAACTTTGGCGCGTCCCCCTGACAAGCCAAAGTACTGACTCCTGCCCATGGTGGCGTGAGGATTGAAACACTGTTCAGCAAAGTTTTGGTTGTGTCAATCTGTTGCTAGGATTTGGGTGTTGCACCTGCAAAGATTGGCTTGGGCAAACACATTGGTTCTTGAAGTAGACGTTCAGAGGTTGCAATGGCTTTGCTTCAGGATTCGGATCACCCACGACAAACATGTTCTTTGCCCTGGCGCCTTGACGGGCAAGAGCAACTCGGACCTGTTTGCATCCGGCGAAGAGCAACGCGTTTCAAGCTCTCGCAATCAAGCGGCCTCGCCTTGTGGGCTTGGATCTGTGAAATGTTTGGCATAGGCGCTGGGCTCAAGACTTGGCACACCGTAGAAGTGGATGTCCGTTGTTCTTGGTGCGCTGCAGGCTTGAGCTTAATCTGCTTTCTTTTGCGTGTGTCCTTTGAGTCTCAGCCTTGGCTGAGGCTTTGAGGCACTGTGTAGCAGTCGATCATTGTCGTGGAGATGGGCCACCCTACCCTCAGTCCGAAACACCGGAAAACACGCCAATCCTAGAGAACCAATCACCCAGATCAATGCAAGCTCCAAAGCCACACATGAAGATAGTTTGCCAACCACATCTTATACCCAACACCTATCCCTTTGAACGCTTTGTCAAAGTCTTTATCGCATCAACTTGGAACGCGCGTTGAACACGCACAGAACTAAAGCACAATCATAGCAACTCACACCCGAGATCAACCTGCAACATAGTCATATACCCCTTAAGTTCGTCGCAAAGACAGCTCCTTTGCCGCTATGCCCCACTGGAAGCCACAGCACTTGCTTGTGACAGAGTGGCGTATGAACTTGCAATCTGAGCAGAGCACATGCACCAAGCAATCTGATACTCCGAACAACCAACTCTTGAAAACAAGCCTGAACCTGCTGAAGCAAGGTTCGCTCCAAATCTTACTCAATGTTGTGGAGCTGACTTTCTTTGGCGTAGTGGGCACGCAATTCAGGTTGGGGGGGGGTCCAGCCTGCCGCTCAAATCCGCGTCACGAAGCGTTGCACATCTCCAATCCAGTCGTTTGTATCCCAAGTGCCTTTGCAGATTTGAACGATTTAACCCAGTCAAGTTGTATGGCAACAGCTGTATTTATGAGCTATTGCTTTGGGCTGGTTTCAAAAGCGTAAGCCAGAAGCTAATGGCTGGAAAGGCTTCCCCTACGTTTGCTGCGTGGCAGGTTTCGGCCTTGCACGAGGTGTGTTGCTTGCGTCAGCCCAGCGCGCAGAATTCGAAGCTGAGTTCGAAGCAGCTGTTGGCCTTTGACTTGCGATGAATTGAAGATGACTGCGGCCCCATGCGGCCCCAGCCTTGCAGTTTCTGTGGGCACTATTGCCTTTTGAGGGTTGTGGGGTGATCCCAACTCAATTCGGTCACTTGTCGCAACACAAGGGCTCAGGAATTTTGGTGAATGGTTGAGCTACCATGACCGGCCTCCCGGGCTGCAGCCGGTGCGGCCTCACGCCTGTGGATATGGTTGGTTTTTGGGACGATGGATATGATCGGTTTCGGTGGATCAGGACATATTCCTCTTCAGTGCTTGCTCCATTTTTTCATGAGGAATGGTGTCCTTCCTCAATGGATTGGCTTCCAGCTTGGCAACACCCGTTTCCGCAGAACGGACGCATCTACTGCCCTAGCTGCTGGCGCTCTTGGGCCTGGTATGTCAAGGAGGGTGGCAGTGCCTACGCCTTGCCTGAGCGCTGCGAAGCTTTGGCCTCAGCACATGTGGAGATCAAGAGCAAAAGGGGCGGCTTGGCTCTTGATTGACAAGTTGATGCTGTTCCGAAGGCAATCCAAAGACATGACGTGTTGGGCCATAGTTCGTGTGAACGAAGCGGCCGCTGACCAACACTAGCCAAGGAGGTCCCTTCCTGTGCGTGACCTGCAACAAAGCTTTCAACAAGAAAACACTGGAGTCGCACTTGCTGCTCTACCACCGGAAAGATCAGCCAAACTGGAAAGCGCTGCAAAGCTCGGAAGTGGAAACGCAAACCACCCTGATGTGGGTTGCTCGGCTGACCAGTGACAGTGATTGCTATGGATCCATTTGGGCGCTCTGGAAGCAACCCCGCTCAAGAGGGACACAGTAGATGGAGTTTGCTATGCAATTGTGTTGAGCCCTACTTTTGCCGCTTTGCGTCAAGTCTCCAGGCCGGGCAAACTTTGGTCACACTGGCAAACATGAGCTGTGGACGGTACCGGCTATTCAGGGTGCCCCATTTCGCGGGGCTCTGCACCAATGTGCGGAAACCTTAAGGACAACGTGGCGCATTCTTATCATAGAGTTGAATGCGTGCCTGCCAGCCAAGGTCTCTGACGATTACCACTTGGACCTTTCCTGGGAATTCCAGGCCAAAGGTTCTGGAGGCTATGATGACTGGCAGCCCTTCATGCAAGGTGCCCAGGAGGAGAGCGTTCGATTGCTTGTGAAAAGGGTCTCCCTCAAATGCACTGCCTCCAAAATGATTCGCGGCCAGAAGTCCCTATTTTTTTCCTGATGTCCACAACAGGGTCCCTAATTCAAACTCATGCCCATCTAGACGAGCGCAGGAGCTCGAGACGCACTTCAAGTTGCTTCAGCAGCAGACAGGGCCAAGCGAAGTGATAGTATCTACCAACGGCTACTCGTATGCCGTCGACCTCAATGCCATGACGCAGAGAAACTTGAAAACCAATCGCACGCGGAGCATCCGGCGGCAAGAGGTCAAGAAAGACTCTGGCCCGCTCCTTGACGAACATATTGGGTGTGCAACTTTTCGGGGAAGCCCCTTTTGGTTGATGTCCAAAGGGAAACCAAACGGAAACCATTCTTGGGGTTCTCCATTTTTCAGACAAACCCATATGCTGACAGCTTTTTTTTGTGTTGATGTGGGCGCTGACTTCAACTCAATTGCCTACCCAATGGAGTTGCAATTCTTCCACAAAACCAAGGAAGCAACTGGAACAAGGATCTGACCTCGCTGATCTGCTTGCAGAGCGGGATCAGTTGAAGAAAGATCTCAACAACCAGCGGACAAAGGTCAAAGCTCTCACGGAGCAGGCGTGTAGAAAGCATGATGATGTTTTGCCGGAAGCGGAGTATGTAGTTACATGCGAGATGCAGAGCCAAGCTGTTCTTTTCTTGATGGCCCGCGAAGGTTGCAGCGTTGCAGAAAGATTTGGAGGCAGTAGAGCACTGCCAACAGATGACTTTTCAGGACCATGCTGCATGGTGTCAGCAGTGGGCGCACTTATTAGGGTTGCCAGATGCTCAATCTAGAATACGATGGTTTTGGGGATAGAGAATCTGCCTTATTGCGTCACTTGGTAGCCTTGCCACTCTTCTGTCCGCAAGCGCCAGGAATCCTGGCGTGCCAGTGCTCAACTGGGCCTTCGCATTTTTCATAGACTAGCTGCCAAAGATCCGGCTTCTCGGCTGAAGCCCGACGATTACGATGCTGTGTGGTTCGTGCGCTGCCAGTGAAGTTGACCCGCCCTGTGAAGGTGATCTGGAAACTCCAAGAAGCTTTGCGGGCGGCTTGCACAGATGGCCGGCGGCTCAGTTCCCTGTTCCGCCACAGACAGGGGCCGACGCAGCCGGTCAGCACGACTTTGTCCCGGCATGTTGCCACTGAATTCGTGAATTCTGCCTGTGTATGGTTTGCAGTTGTGGGTATCAAAGCTGCGCAGTTTGCGTGAATGGGGCTGCTTGACGGCAGAGGCCTTGCAAGACGATCATAACCTTGCCTGTTCGATAAGCAGTTCCTAGGAGCTGTTTACAACAGTCTCCTGACTTTCTTCAACTTTCTCGAGATCCTGGGCGCACCGAGAGGGAAGACTCACTACGTGGGATGTTTGGATTTCCCGTCGTCAAAGTTTCCTCTCATGAAGCAATGGACGCATTTCAGCATCCGAGTAAGGCCATTGTAAGAAATAAGTGTTTGATTTCTAGGCTGTGAAGGCAATGATGTGAGTGATGTGGTGCTGTTCGGATTGCGTTTGTAGCGTTTCTTACTCTGCCCCGCTGCAAACAATCACGACAACCCAAGAAAGGGGTCCGAAAAGAGAGCCAGTGTTCGGGTTCCGTGTAAATCTGGGCAGCGTTGCGGCAGCTCAAGGCCACTACAACCAGTGCGGGTACATGCGCTTTGTGACCGTGGTGTCTGTCGAGCAGATCCACAACACGCAACTGTGGAATAGCTACGAATTCCGCAAGGACCCGAGTTAGCGCAAACATTTCTCGCATGAAGGGCATGTTTGCACTCCCTTCCGACTGATTTAGCTATGCTTGCTATCGCTTACTTCTAGACTGCGAGGCCTTGTTGAGATCTTGTTAGAGGCGCGTCAGGATTTTCAAACTGAACCTCCAAGCTAGCAAATAAGTCATCATGTCTGCAAAGCAATAGGTAAACTGCCAAGCCTTCAATCACGCAACCATTCCAATCCACACATGAGGCCAGCTAAAAAAGGTTTTGGTTGGTGAGCCATAGCTGCACTTTCCTAGCCTTTCTTTGTGTTCCTGAAACATACTTTTGCTTCACACCTCCTATGGCGAGGAGCCAGGTGCCAGTGCCAACGCGAGACCATTTCTCTTGGCTTCACTCACTTGCCCCATCAGTTAGTCAACTTTCCGCACCGAACTTGAAAGAAGGGACACTTACAGTTTGTGCTGTCACAAAATCCCCAGCGGTAGGCAAGCCTAAACTCTAAAACTTGCGAACCTTTGATCTAAGAGTCGAATCTGAAACTCCAGCTGCTTGTCAAGCTTACCCGCATCCGAACCGTAAATCTACACCTGCACCAGGTTAAGGTCTACACCCATGAACCCTGGACCACCACTGACCTGACAATCGTGGGCACTTATGCGGCTAGTACCCGGGCTGGGCTTTGTCACAGGAGCAGATCCGCAAAGAAGAGTCGCTGCCAGCTTCGCACGTCATCCAAGCAAACAAGGAACTGTCCAAGGCATGCTCGTGGGCGAGGCTAGATGCGGATATCAATGAAGTGCTGGTGCTCCATGGCACTCTTCCCGAGAATGTGGACAAGATCGCAAGCGGGGGATTTGATGAACGGCTTGCCCGGCAAGGCGGTTTGTTTGGACAAGGCAGCTACTTTACAGATGAAAGCTGCAAGAGTGGCTTGGTTCTCAATGCAAGGGTCAGAGAGCAAATCCCGCGTATCAATGTCATGATTTCGGCGATTGTTGGACTGAACAATTAGCATTATGCACATAGTGTGTTTTAGTTTTTGTGTGTGTGTGTGTGACTCAAGGCGCTTTGGTCAAGCCAGTTGCCGTCAATCCCCTCGCGCTCAGGCTTCCAATACTCTGGGGCATATGACAGACATGCTGCCGGACCATCTGGATGCGAAGGATGCATCATCATATCTCGTGTGGTTCTTGGCTATCCATACTTTGCCACGGGGCAAATGAAGCATTTGAAGACTGAACCCTTCCGTGACGACTCGGATCCTTCCAAGGGCTCAGGCCTCAGTTTGAATGAGACTTGTGAAGTCCACCAAATGATTTTGACGTCCTCGTCTGACGCATTTGCTGCGGCATGCATCAGCAACTTTGAGCTTCCGCAGATCACACAGCACTTCCAAGGCCACTGCCACTGTGTGGTGGCATCAAGTGGAATTTCAAATGGGCAAGGCAGACGGGCAGGGCTGTGGTGTGTCGCTGGATTCTTTTGCTGAGAGTGACAGAGCTGGTGACACAAGCCTTGACAAGACTGTCAAAGCCTTTCGAACACTTAAGACAGAATTGCCAACTCTAAGCTCAAGTCTCTCAGATTCAGTACTCAATTTAGTGCCAATATTTAACCTCAGATTCCCAATGCTGAATCTAGAAGTTCAAAATTTAGCATTGCCAGGACTCAATCTCAGATTCCTCGTACGTCACTATGAAATGCAAGTTCTAAATTTACCCACAGCCTCCGAGGGTTGCCGTCACCCCATACTTCACCCTTGTCCTGCAGAGGGTTTTGGTTCAGTCAGGCTTTGGGGTGAAGGTAAGGGTTCAGGTTCAGGGTGCAGGTCTAGGGTTTTGGTTTAGGTTTTAGGGTTCAGGTTTAGGGTCTACGTTTAGGGTTTAAGTTTAGGGTCTGGGTTTAGGTCTCAGGCGTTCAGGGTCCAGTTTTTAGGTTTAGGGTGTTTTACTTAGAAGCTCTCAAGAAGTATCGGCTAGCTTTGTCCAAACGGCGCGTTAAGCACCCCTCCACCTTCAACGAGCCGAGCTGCGATTGTTTGTATGAGCCTCAGCCATGACTAATTCGAGCACGTGGCGACAAAGACGGCAAGTGTTTCAGGCGGCTTAGGCTTTTAGGTTCGGGCGTCGGGGCGTTGCTTTGGGGCGCAGGCAACCCTCAGGGCTGGCCGTAAATTGAGCATCTCCGAAAGCAACAAGCTTGCCATCAAAGCGGACCCCGAAACAGTCGGATTCAATAACGAGAGATTTATATAAAACATGATGGTTTGGGGTCCACTTGCAGGACAATAATTCCGGACAAGAATTCCTAGATAGGCCTTCAGCCTTTGAGCTGGGAAGGGCTTAGATAAGCTAAGCTTCAGAAGTAAAAGTCTGAGGCTTTGATCTGACGTTTTCTGTCCGGATTTCTTGGGCTAAACGCTTTCCATAATAGAGAGCCTCAAAACGCTCACAGGGTTCTGAGTTTGTAAAAAACACTTTCAACCAAATAGCGATCCCAACTATAAAACAGGATCCAACATCAATGAGCTTGGTCTCCTGGAAGAAAGGGATTCCACGTAGCGCGGTTTTCGGATTAGAAACGGAACTTCCAACAACATTGCACTCCATCCCAGTCCGCAAATGTAGCACTGGGTTGCCTCTTTCTGATCAGGTGCGACGCAGGCTTCTTGGCGAATAGTTGCGACGTCCTGTGTGCTGGCACCAGCCCAATCTGGCGCCCCATACTTTTTGGAAGAAAACAGTGACGCGTTTACACGGCAAGGTTCTTAGGCTGGCTAGTTGCAACATGATTGCCAAAGCAGCCAACCAGCAAAAGTCAACCAACAATGACTTGCGTGGCAAATTTTGAAGGCACTGAGATTGGTTACTCGCCCAGGTTCACCGAGAATTCGTGGTCTTCAATCGCTATCAAGCGTATCCAGAGCTTCTTGTGCGGTTTCGAGTACCATGATCGTGTTCAAGGAATGGCCGGTTACAGATCGCTGAGATTTGTATGCCTGCGCTGTGCATCAGTGTCAAGGATGCTGGTGACGTATATGTATATGTTTTTGATTCAAAGCTAGCTGGAATGGTCGTCTCCTGAAGCCTCAATGGTTTTCACAAAGACGACTAGCTGTACAGAACACTGAATTGTGTTGCTGACGGTTGTTTGAAGGAGCAGTTGGCGAGTTTTTTGGGAGGTCTGGCCGTCAAGGCATTGAGCTGGGAGCGTACCAGCGAACGTACTCTCAACTGCTCTTGGCAGCCGGAATGCAGCATGTCATACAGATCATTCTCAGATCATCAATGCGGGCAGGATGAGCATTCAGGAGATATGCTTACAGCAGCATGTAACGCTGACTAGATGTTTGTTGTACATGGCAGACAGGACACCTTGAGATATTCAGCGATTGTTTCCGTGCTTTTGGGCCTTGAACGTTGCCTAACTGGAGATGCTCTCTCCTGCGCAGCACCGTTGGAGTAATACTCTGGGCTCCTTTCAAACGAGGAAGCAGGAGTGACCAAATGCTGGCAGCTGTTTGTCGGGGCGATGGTCAGAAGTTACGACCGGAAAACCTTCCCCCCCGGCAATTGAGTTGCTCCTTTGGGCGCGTTTTAGCCGCGCATTTTCCAATCATGCGTTTGCGACCTCAAAGTGCCTAAAGCAGATGGTGGCTCCTACAAATGTCGGCAGGATGCTTGTGGTCTGAGTAAGCGTGAGTGTTGGGGCGTGAGAGCGGTTTCGCGCAAGTCACGTTGCTCGGTGCAGGTTATCGATGGCTGTGCTGGCAAGGGCTTTAGGGGTTCTGGCCGCTCCATTGGCAATGGATGCTGGCATGTGCCTGCTGTGCCTTTCGGGTTTTCGTGCAGTTGGATCTTGAGGCCTGAGACCTGGAGGCGCGCGGCTCGGCCACAAGGCTGGCGGCTTGCGTGTTGGGTGTGGCTTGGGGCCCCTTTCTTTTGGTTGTATAGGAAAACCAACAGAAAGGCGAAGCCCAGTTGTTCCATATCCCAGGGTCTTGTTTGACTGACTTTTGTCCCACTTATGCAGAGATGGCGAATAGCGGTGCGTGGCTGAGTCTGTTCAGTGTAGAGCTGAGGTAAGGATCGATAGGGATAGTTGGGGGCATTCGTATTTCATTGTCAGAGGTGAAATTCTTGAATTTGTTAAAGACGGACCACTCGCGAAAATATTTGCCAAGAATGTTTTCATTGATCCAGAACGAAAGTTAGGGGATCGAAGACGATCAGATACCGTCCTAGTCTTAACCATAGACTATGCCAACTAGAGATTGGAGGTCGTTAATTGCACGACTCCTTCAGCACCTTACGAGAAGTCAAAGTCTTGGGGTTTCGGGGGGAGTATGGTCGCACAGCTGAAGCTTGCCAGGCTTTGCATGAGGTCTCCCAAGATCACATGTGAAAGAATGATTTTGAAGCGTTTGGGACAGACCTTTGGAGAACGCCTCCCCCAACCAAAGCTTTTTGAAACGGCATTCTGTCCTGTTTGAAGTCCAGGTGCTGTAATTTTGCGTGGCTTGCCACAGTGACAGTCAAGAGTAATTTTCAGACTCAAACACCAGCGCTACAACCGGGGTTGCAACTGGTTCGTGAGGCATTCTTCATGCGACTCAGTTTCAACGCGGGCCGGAACGCTCGGAGGTCAGCCAGAGAGACTCGCAGCGAGGGCTCCAGCGCGCTCTAAGAGGAGAGGAATTGCATGAGTCAATGAGTTGCCCCCACTAAGGGGTCTCATATTTTCTTGCAGACTGCCTCAACTCTGGGGCCTTCAAAGGTTTGAAGGGTCCATGGCCTACATGTTTCTGCTTGAAATTCAGGAGAATGTGTCTTGCTGGCGGTGATCAACTTGCAGCCACTTGCGCATGCGGCGCATGTCTCTAAAAAGGGAGGATTGGGTGCGCTGGGCAGGCACGTGAGAGCAAGCCCCCTGGAGTAACATTCGCCATCTTGAGACCATCCGAGGTTGCGATACCTATTACATTTGGGTTGCATTGCATGGCATGTTTCAAGAGCTGCCTCAGATGCCCCAAATCCTCCAACCGCAAATCCAAGCCAAAAAGGACAAGTGTGGGCAAGTTGATGCAATCTTGACAAGGACGTACCAAGCCAACAAAGGGATTCAGGATGTCGGACATAAACTTGCAATATACATAATATGTATATATATATATATATAAATTTGCCTGCTTGCGCCCCACACCCACAGCGAAATGAGGAGCATTCAGAGATATTGATTTTGCAGACGACAAGTTGTGCGTGCGATTTTGACGCTGAACATACCAATTGCAATGTTGGTTTAAGGGCCAAAACAAATCCTAATTTAAAATATTTTAAAGTGGTTGTTTCCCACCTTTGTGGTGCTTCGGAGTGCTGCGTGAGCATTCCTTGTGAGTCTGGATAACTCGAACGGTTGGTGCCTTGGCGGCTCAAGGCCGGGAGAACCTTCCCCAGCCAACCGAACCGATACTGAATCATGAAACGAAGCAATCAAATTTGAAAAGGAGAACATGGGTGAGCCAGGTTGAATGCTCCAAGTTGCGCAGAGTACCTTTTTCAGAGTCATACTAGAAGCCTTGCAATTGTCAGCGTCGAACAGACTGATGACCTGAATGCAAGCCATATGCTGGTGAGCACTCAGTGAGAGCAGAGGGTTGGAGTTGTCAGGCCTTTCTTGTGTTCTGCACTTTGACTTGTTCAGCTTACCGAGAGACATAAGCGCAGCTTTGCTCTTGCAGGATGGCATAGGGGATGAATTGAGCAACATGCGACTCACTTTGAACTCGCGATTGAATCCTGGCCGAGCCATCGACATTTGCTACCTCATACGGTAGTGGTCGTCGAGTAGTGCTGTTGCATGCAAGTGAATGCGTAGCGAAATGCAGCATGCTTCTGCTTGACCTGCGCGTTAGTGCCCAAAAGCCCACAAAAAATGCTACCGATATGCAAGCCGTCACGGCGTATGCAGCTTTTTGTGGTGCAGCTCCGAAAGTGCAAGTTTGTAGCGCAGAACGGACTGAGAGGAGGGCAACTCAGCAGCTGCGGCTTGAAACTCGCGAGTTTGTAGTCGCAATGTAGGACGCAGGGTTCTCAGAGGCCGTTGCGCAGAGAACTTGCGCAAAGAACTTGCGCCGAGAAACTTCCACAGAGAACTTGCCTAGAGGACTTGTACAGACAAACTTACCGCGGAGAACTTGCGCAGAGGCGTTGCGCAGAGAAACTTGCACCGAGAACTTGCGCGCAGAAACTTGCGCAGAGAAGAGAAGCTTGCAGAAAGGAACTTGCACAGAGACCTTGTTTAAAGAAACTTGTGCAGAGAGCGTTTGCGGAGAAACTTGGGCAGAGAAGCTTCTCAGATGCATAGAGAACTTGCTCGAAAGAAAGGCGTGCGACCTTCATCCCGAAAGCGTTGCAGAGGTTTCTTCCGGTAAAATTGCGAGATAACTTGTGCAGAGAAGTCGGACAAGAGATATTGCACAGACGAGTTGCGCAATAGAACGTGACACGGGAACTAGCTCAAGATAACCTGCACAGACAAATTGCACGCGAGGAGAGATAATTGCCCAGAGAAATTGCACGTCGAACTTTCGCCAGAGAAGTTGCGCAGAGACTTTTCGCAGGATCGATTGCGCAGAGAGTTTGCGCAGAGAACTTACACGTGCGAAATTGCGCAGAGTTTGCAGAGCGAATGTGTGCCAGCGAGGCTGCGCAGCATTGAAAGTTCTTAGGGCACCCCTGTGGCAAACTACCCACCAACATGCTGAGCAAGCCAGACCAAGAAATAGTACCTGGGGCGCAGCAGAACACTCGCCTTTTCAAATGCGGAGCCACGTGGTTGCGAAGCTTAGTTCTCGCACCATGGTTACCATGCTGACAGCCAGCCTTCCAGCACATCTAGCTGTGTGGTGTCGAAAAGAGTTGCCATTCGACTGACGCGGTGACAGGTGCGATGACGCTGTGAGACGAGCGACCTGAGGCTCATGGCCAAGCTGCTGGTGCCCTTGGTGCTCGCAGGTGCAGCTGTGCCGGAGGTAGCTCACAGCCCAAAATCGTGACTTTTGGCAGTCCCCCGCCACAGAATGGGCCGCGTTGTCATGGGCGCACCCCCATGCGGCCAAACAAAGTTGATCAACAACTCTCATGCGCATGACAAGACCAGAAGCTATGCATCCCAGTAGGATAGAGCAACATGTTTGCAGTCTGGGTAGAGAAATGCGTTGCTTTGGATTCTGAATCATTGCCAGCCCAAACGCTGGGACTTCCCCACGCCAGTCTCTGCGCAAAAGGCCCGAACGGCGGCCATATTCAATGAAAATAAATCAAGCCTCTAAGCCAGGAGAAGAGGACATTGGAGTGGCTAGCAGAAGATCTGACGTTCTGCGCCCTTGGCGTTTGCAGGGGCCAGCCAAGCCACTTCCGTTGTGTGGCGCAGTGCGCTTAGCGAGACAGCTGAGCTCTTGAGCACCAGCTGTGCCAATCCAATGCAGCACAAGTGATTTGGATGTGAGGTGGTTGACTTGCCGAGAGGATGCTTTGTGCATGCAGTGTCCTCCCTGAAAGCTGCGCCCATGCTCCTTGTGTTTTCTTGCAAGGCTGTGAGGAGCCGGAGCCCCTCAGTCTGCCTCAGCCTCAGGGATCCAACAGCCAGGCCAGTTCCCAATGAAGGGGTTTGTATCTTTCATTTTTTTTTTATTATTATAATACTAAAATAAATAGATAATAAAGGGACACCAAACAGGTACAACCCCATGTGCCGCGTTCCCTCATGTTGCGACAAACCCATGTCCAGCCATTGCCACGGCTTTTGGAATTCGGATCCCAGGTTGCAGACGGCCGTGGCAACACGCAAGGAGGGATTCGGGATGATTCGGGCCATTGGGTCAGGGATTCGAAGCAGGAAGCCATGCGAAATATCCGAAGGGTTCTCCGAGCGAGCTGAAAGTTTCCTTCCCTTCCCGCAGGTCAAAGAGGGCCAGGTGCGAAGGACGGACTCTGACTTATGCGCTCGAAGCTTGCAGCAAAGACAAAACGAAGGTCATATGAGTACAAGGGTCTATTTGGGATTTGGGCATGGCTTGAGAAAGTCAGCCCTACAGTAGGAGGGGTTGTTGAATGAGGCTACAATGAAACCAATCATTTGAACCAGGCTGCAGCTTCGTTGTGGGGGGGAAAAAGCCTTTGGTTGACTTGCCTTCGCTGTTCGAGGAGTGATGCAGAGCTTCGCGCGGAGAATGCCCGGCTGAAGACACAGCCGGGAGCCTCAGAGCAACGCGGGCTTGTCTTAGTTGGGGAAGCCTCCTCGTGCTTGGTTTCTAAGAACATCCCCCAAAAGAGCTTTTTGCTAGTTGCCTTCTGAGAAGCCACATCTCAAGGTTTTGTCGTTTGTCTCTCTTTTGGGCTCAGGCTGGGTGGTTGATCAAACATCAGGGCCTTGTGGAAAGAAGGTGTTGCGGAGGTTCCAAAGCAAGAAGCCACCGCACCGAAGTTGCGGTCGACGACATCTTGTCCAGACAGGTGCTGTTGGAATGCGCATTTATGGTTCATCAAGCTAGGAAGAACAGGTGCCAGAACATGGCTCAACTGCAGGCTCCAGCAGGTCGCCAAGCAAATGCTGGCGAGGCGCGGGGCACTCATCCGATGACTTTGGGGAATTGGTTTGTTTCCTTTGGGCCGCCGGCATGCGTTGATTTGTCTTCACTTTAAGCCGTCTAGAACTCTGTGGCACTTGTCACCGAAAAGGCCATTGAACTGGGTTTGTTTGGTAAAAGCCTCAAACTTACACTAAAAGTTGTGGTTTCAAGTACCTCCCCAAACTGCCAATCATACATTCCCCACATCCAATGGAAGCCAGTAAACTTCAGACTGTGTCAACATTGGCCCCCCCCCCCGACCCCCACCCTACCCCCCCCCCCCCATCCCCACCCCCCCCAAAAAAAGAGAGCGAGGATTTCCGGCGCCAGGACCTCCAAGCGGTGGAACTTCAGGCGCAGTGCCCGCCTGCGCACGCGTTCCGGCGGAGAAATACTCGCGCCAGGCAGCCATGGTGTCTGAGCGCTTTGGTGCGCCTGGCATGTCTTAGCCATCAAGCCATCAACCTACCAACCCACTGGAGATGTCAGGGATTGACCGAAAATTGTTAGTCCCATAGGCCAAGGGCATCAAGGACATTGCTGAACAGAGGATCGATTTTCCAGCAGGATGAATATGCACTCTCATGTCCTTACTCTCCATGGGAGAAAGTTGCCCACTTGTCGCACTAGACTCAACAGCGAAATTATCACTGAGTCCGTTGCGTGTGCTGGTGCCCAATTTGTTTAGGTGGCTGCAGTCCTGTCGGGCATCTACTTCTTTATTTACTTTTCCCATTTGGTGGCCATGGCACTCAGAGCCTTGTGGCACTTGCTTGGCAAAGTCCACTTTGACACGGCCGGAGCGTTCCCAATGGCCCGAGGTGTTCTTCAGTGAGAGGAGCTCCATTAGCAAAGCCAACCGCCGCTTGAAGGTGTGGGAAGGCGAGCTTCGAGTGGTAGGAATTCTGACGATTCTGACGTCTCTTTTGAGCGTGTGCTCCACGGCCAATTGACGCGGCGTGTGGCAGAAAAGCGGCCCGTGCCGAAGTTCGAAGACTTCAAGGCGAAGATGCACGACGAGCCAGGGAGCCCGGTTCACATCCGAGTGGCTGTGAGAAATTGTTGGGAGCGATCCAGCTTGGTTCAGAGATCTAGTGAAAGGGCTATGCGCGAAGGTAAGCCTTTCGGAAATTGCGGGGCTGAGATTCCCATATTTTTCAGCGGACCCTGAGAAATTCGGTTGCTCGAAGACTTATCCATGCCATCCCTGGACATACACTATGTCGCCATTGCTACACTCGAGGTTCTTTTGCGGGCTGCGGTCGCTGACTGCTGATGCCTCAATGCCAGATTTGTTCTGTATGTATTGATATCCGTAAGGAGAGCACTGACCGAGCTGAGTACCAGGTGATCCGCCTCTTTGTTGTCATCGCACTGGCTGTGGGAGGTGGGAGAGCCAACAGTTCAACATCCCGCGGCAGGGGGGCATTCTTGATCAACTGTGGGGAGCCTCTTCAGTGGAGTCTGACTCGAGCGTGCCAGCGTGCCAGTTGGAAGCTACCTCGCTCAGCATGGCTACTTCGAGCCTTTGAAGGAGAAGCACGCTACTCAGAGCTTGCAGGTGAACCGAGGCCACAGGCAAGCGGACTTCCTACTGCGCACCGATTGTTGAGAGTGTGAAGGCAGAAAGGCAGCCGTCGGATGCTGTGGCCGTGTCCTCTTGAACAAATGAACGTGTCCGTGGGTCATATGGGCCATGGCAACAGAGTGATCCCTTCCAAGTCAGGATCGGAAGCTCCAACAGACCCATCCGTGCTGCAACGGTGAGGCTGGTGCCCTTCTTGTACCTGGGCTTCGTGGGCATTCTGGTCCTTCAGGCGCCTTGGCTTTGGCGCAGTTGCGGCTGTTATCAGCTCCCGGCGCACGAACCAGGTCCTGATTCGGAGTGTGCGGGGCTCAGAGATGGACGTCCACGTCGAATTGTGAGGGGAAATGATTGTCTAAGCTCTCGAGGGGCTGTTTAGACATGACAGTCCCATCCCAAGAAGGCGAATCAAAGAACAGCATACCACCTGGAAATTAAGCGGTTGGTTTTTTCCAGGGAACTGCCTTTCAGATTCTGTGTTTATTGTTTCTGCGCTTATGGGTGGGAGGATTTTAGTAATCCGCATGGTTGCTTTGGCATGCTTGAGAATGGCCTTGGACGTGGATACGCAGAACTGTTGATTTTGGCAGAGGTCAAAGAAACTCAAGATGAGCCTTGATGAGTCGCCCCGGGCATACAGACGACTTCATGGCACTTCATCCCTTCAAGCCATGGAAAGCGGTCCCAATCGATGGGGAGTTGGGTGGGCGGAGGGGTATCCGTGCTCGAGCCGAGGCCTGGGAGCAGAGCTTCGCGGTCTTCGGCCCCTTGCTGCATGCCTCCCACTTAGCAGCTTAGCACGAGGGTATCTAGAAGATCAGTTGCGGACCCGTCAGCTGCCATGCTAATGGGACTGGGAGGGAGGGCCCTTTTGGTTTGGAAGGGAGCCCAAAGGAAGCTAACCAGTTTGGAAGGGCGACAATGGACCCCGGATGAACAAACCGGTTTATCAACCAGAGTATCACTAAGAGACTCGGAAGTATGGTGTTGGTACAACTTTTGGCACATTGCTTTGTTCCTTTCTGTTCAGTCAGCCTAGAGGGAACCGCCGGGGGGAACCACTGAACCACTGCCGCAGAACCTACACGCCTTCACCAACGCCATTCAGGCCAGGGGTATGACTGCCTCACTGCCTCACTGCCTCACTGCCTCACTGACCCTGATACCTGCAAGCCAGTGGCTCCAGGTCAGTGCTTGTTGCTGCAGTTCCCGCAGCTGGGTAGTCATGCTGCTCTGTTTCGGCTCAAGCTGTCAACAGCAGATACCAATGCAACATCTCGCAGCCAGACAAAGCTAGCTGGACAGTATCAGGCGCATCACTCGGGCTTTGATTGTTGAGCTGATGAATATTCCCCGACTCAGGCAAGTCCTTGTTGCACCGTGCCAGTCTCATGAATGGAGCTGACAAGAATCCCGTTTCTCTTCGAAGGTTTCATAGAAATGGGATTTTGCTTCCCCAAGGCTTCAATCCACAGATCGCGCGAAGCATTCCCTCATCCGGGCCATGGGCCTTCACCACTCGACCCACCGGAGGCGGACGTCAAACAGCACCCCGTCCACTTCCTTTCTGAATGGCACCAGAGCTGAGCCAAACAAGGCACAGTCGGTTTGACGGCGACCTGTATCTGCGTCAATTCTGCGTCATGCATTGCATGCGGGCAGGGTGGCACGATGGATGTTCTCTTGGTACTGTTTAGACCCAGCACGGACTTGCATGTGGCAAGCCTCTCAAGCCAAGCTTGCGGCAGTGGTGATGTTGACAAGGCCCGTTTTTTTCTGTTTGTAGGACCAGGAAGAGCCGTCCACTCCATCCGTGAAGGCGAGAACATCAGACCTGCCAATGACTGTGTCAGATCAGCCATGGTCATTGCTCAATACATGGCACTTTGCACACGTATCAGATGACCTCGCGCCGAATTTGCCAGGTGCAGTTCCCTTTCCGCTGCGAGGATCGGAGCAAGATCCCAGACGACCTGCTGGAAGGACTGATCGAAGGAACAGTCGAACTTGAATCAGAGCAAGGCTTTTGCCATTCACCTGGGCGCTGCAACTCTTGTGTCGAGCTTACCCTCCACAAAAGTGAAAACAAAAAGACACACACAAACAAACGCCCCTATTTTGTACGTTGCTGGAGGACCATTCGAGGAATTCAGCATCTCGGAGGATATCTATGCCACCTTTTACTTGCTGGCGAGAAACGCCACGCCGGACATGTACAGCATTTCGCCCTTCCGGAATCCAGATGTGCTTTGTCCGCGCATGGTGCCATTGGTTCTCCGTTCTTGCTTCTCTTGTTTGGCGGACGTGAATGTCTCCAACTAGTCATGCTTCCAAATGATTCCCGTCGTTTCCGCTACCATTTGGAGACTCGCTCTCCCTGCAAATCACCATGGACCCCCAAAAGCAACGGCTTTTTGTAGATGAGGCTCCTTTTGGAGGTGCCACCTTGCGCGGGTTCCATGGCTCCACCCGCAGGAGGGCTGCTCGGCTGGATAAGTCGACAGGTGCGGATCGCCTGGCTCTACCTGCTCTTTATCGCGGGCTCGCAGATCTTTGTGATCCTCGCCATCACAGCTGCTGCCCCAGAAAACGCAGGAATGGTTCTGGGGGCGGGCGGGGGGGAATGGGGAATGGGGACATGACATGAGTTGGTGTTGTGTGGGTTCGATGTGCCCACAATACCCTTGATGATGGCTTGGATTTGAAGATCATTTGGATGATGCATTTGGCTTGGTTCCTAGGTTCTCTACCCGCCTGCAGATCCTTGGTTCTGCAAGAAGATGTGGATGGGTGGCAGGCAGACTGGAACGGGTTTCACGGAGCATCAAGGTGAAGACAACACCTTGGATTGGCTTGTCTTTGAGTTTGGGAACCCTCAACCGGGTTGGTTCCCTGCTGGATTCCATTGAAGCCGAACTCAAAAAAGATGTGCTCAAAAACGATGCACCCAGGTGCAGACCACGACCGCCTTCGTGAACTGCCAAAATGCCACAGCCGTGGCGGCCTTGCACGCCAAAGGCCGCGAGTCGGATTGGATCATGTGAACAACCCAACTTCCCCGGCGACCTCCCGGCGACCTGGTGCCAACCCATCTGAAAGTCCCAATGGCGTTGAGAAAGGTGTACCCTGAGGACTTTTCGCCAGCACTGGAAGTAAATGCACATGAAGTGCCCGGTGTCCAAGTGCTTGATAATGTGGACTCAAGTTTGCATACTGCTGTTCAGAGCTTGATCATAGAGTTGCTGTATCGTGCTTCTGATATGATAATAGATTAGATCAATATCTAAATCTGGAGGTCATGCTTTGTCATAGTCACCTATTTGCATGAAACATCTAGACTTGCAAGGGCAGCTGCCCAAGCCCAGACTTCCCAGTCAGACGACTGGCAGCCCCAGTGGTTTGACGAGAAGTCTCAGCCCAAGTCCCCCTGTCAGGCGTACTGAGCGGTCTGAGCCCGGAGCTGTGCGAAGAGCAGGGCACACCTGCGCAGGGAGCCCAGTGACTCCGAGCCTGGAAAGTACAGGAAGCCACTCGCACTTGGTGGGGAAATGCAACCGCGATGTTGTTGGGCTTCTTCAAAACCATGCTCGCAATGCTTGGACAGGCTGAGAACATGAGGTGGCTGAAAGTCCAGAGTGGTATGGTAGTGGTGCTTGTAGAGCAATTAGGTGGTTGCCTCAGTGCAATCGGGAATCCACATCTCAGGTTCGAGGTGGATGTGCGAGGCGAGACCGTGATGATGCACACCGTCGAGCATCAGACGGAGTTTTATCATCAGGCGTCCGAAGAAAACCGTACTGTTTATGGGGAGGTGCATATCCGAGAGCAAGAGGATATCGTCTATGATACGTAGGGACATATGGACAACAACATGCTCTCATTGACTCAGAGCTGCCAAGGTTCTACATGTTTCCCATGTTGTGCATTACTCCTCTTGGACGATGTGTTGGTTTCAGCATGAAGTGTTCAATAAGCAAACCTAGTCCGATCAATCTTGGTAGATTTTTCACGGGCTTGACTTACATTGGGCATCAGAGGGCCTATCAATTTGGTCCATTGGTTGGGATTTTCGTTGACTCGCACTCCCAAACAGCATTCGCGCAGCTTCTTGATGGACATGCTGACATGGCATGAGTACTTGATCCAACTTGGCTACCCAAAAAGCTCGTTGATGTTGTCGCTTGGTCCGCTTTCTTCGTCGTGCGGCCGTGCGGCACGTCAGGTCTTGGCCTCGGGTAATGCCGTCATCGTCCTGCTTCGGTTCGTTTGCTGCACCTGGGTCTTCTCGCAGGCCAGGGTCAAGTTTACCGTTTGACTTGTTCGTTTCGCCGGACAGGCCTGTGTACAGTGTGCTTCGCCCACGTACGGCCCATTGGTTCAAGTGGGCTGATGAGTTGTGGTTGAACTTATTAAGATAACACTGTGGCCACACTTCCGTAATTGTAGATAAGTGCCAATGAATTTCAATGTTTGGAACGCCTGCATTCCAACCAGGTGTTGCTTTAGGCGTTGCTTTTGTCAGGGTCCAATGCCACTTTCGACACTCGTGCCGAAGTGAACCCTGACACGGACCCCGCTGAAAGGTCTACCTGCAGGAGTTCAGCAGCGTCGCTTGGTGAGCAATTGGAACCTTGCCACTTTTTTTACATTGGCGTGAGGGTACTTGAAGAGGGGTTGCCCAAGGGGTCTCCTTTTAAGGAAGCACTCTTTCTGCCCAAGGCCGTTTCAGGTAAATGCTGCCTTCTCTTTCTCGAACCCGTGCGACGCCCAAAGGTCAGAGCGCTCCTGCGGTACCATGACTTCAGCCGCTGGTTCCTGCCGCTGAAGGGCGAGGAGAAGTTTGATATGGAACCCCCTCAAAGATGTTCAAAGTGCGCACATATTTTATGTAAATATAGAAGGAACATGTTGATGAGAGGCAGACGGACGTGTGTATTAAAAAGTGGGTGAACGGGCTGGGTGGGCTGGATGGGGTGGGAATGTTTGGATTGAGCAGGGATGCACAGGGCATAGATGCTGGTCAAATGGAGTGATATACAATTTGGCATAGACGGACGGGCAGTTTATCATCAGACGTTGCCCAGCAAGCTTCAGTCCCAGTCCAATGTTGTCTTCTATGTTAGCAAGGTGCACCACAGAACTGCCCAGAATGTTTTGCAATGGTTTGCTTGTCGCGAATGCCCAGCCCCTTGATCATTGTAAAATCATGGGTTCGTTTGCACACACACACACACACACACCAAATGCGTTGCATCGAAACATCAGCCATCGAGCTTTTAGAGGTGTTTGGTAGTTCGGGATGGATGTGGATCGACTTACAATGTGCATTGCCGTTACACGGGTGCACGTGTTTTCATACTGCCGAGGGTCCATGCCCATTCCCTGACATCTTGCCCATGAAGATGTTGTCAATTGCCGCCGCCAGCCCAACCCATCAGCCACACCCTGCCATCTGAAAGGCCCAGGTCTTATGGGCATCAAATAGGCGCTGACGAGTCCAAAGGGTTTCATGCTATGCAGGGCAAATCTATTTGCGTCGATATGTACCGCTGTTCAACCGTTCGTTCAATGGCAGTTCCTTGCCGCGAGACGGCCTGCAAAGTCAATTTTATCTTAGGGGTAATGTCCACTTCCATGACTGGAGCAAGGGCTCGTTTGGTTGTGCTCCAGGAGGTTCGAAACGGCTGGGCAATATGCATCCCAATGATTCAGCAGCTTGGCTGATCAAGTGGCAAGGCACGCCCAGAGCTTTTGTGGTTTCAACAGGAACAAGGCCAATTTTTGGAGTTCCCCTATTTGGAGATAAACCCACTTGGCTGCACGGACTTGTCATCCCAGAAGTGTTGGAGGTTGGGAACTTGCGATGAGTCGCTGTATGCCCAGAGCGATGTTCAAGCTGGCACATCAATTTAGCGCGCAGCGCTTGACTCCAGCAGAAACAATGCCCAGCCTTCTAAGTGTGTATTATTTTCAAGCGGGACATGTGCACATGGGAGTCGTTCTAAATTGCCAGTCTTAAAACTAAGTAAAGGGAGGTTCTAAAAGTCTAGCGCGAAAGGAAAACACTGCATCGCGAAAGGCCGGCGAAAGGAACGCGAAAGGACTTGAAACATAACGAATACATGGTAGAACCCTCGTTTGGGCTCGGAAACAAGTTTTTCAGGACTGGTTTGTCACCGCGAAAGGAAAACATGGGGCCGCGAAAGGACCGCGAAAGGCCGGCGAAAGGGCCGTTTCCAGGAACTTTTATTTTGAACAACCCCCACATGGGATTGATTGGTGGGTTTGGTGGCGTGTTGAGGAAATACCAAGCTGCCTCGCAGGTACATTGTTTTGCAATGCATCACTGTTGCCGCTTGGTGATAACTAGTCACATAACCATGCAATTCAGAAGGCTCAGTGCACCTACACAGAAGCCAACTGCTAGCCAAGGTATCCTTCTTAGTCATTTGCGCTTTCGATGAGCCGTTCGACCCTCGCCAGTGTTTGTTGTGTGCTTTTTCTTTTTTCATCATGATATGTTTTGTTGTCGCAGACTTGCACAATGCTATTTGGTGATGAAGCGGATGATCCCCTTGGATGACTCTACAAGGTTTGAGAAAGCTCTGTGATACGCTGTTTGCTTTTGAAAGGGCATGCCTTTTGAATTACAAAGACCCAGGATATTGTGATGAACTCGTTGGCCTTCACCTTCATAGCAGAGGCATCGTCCTGTCAGACAAATGGAGAGATTGACTCAGAGAGAAAGAGAAAGAGACGGAGAGAGAGAGAGAGAGAGAGAGCGAGAAAAAGAGATGTACTGGAGTTGGAATGTCTGGAATGTTGACCGTTTTTGTCCTGAGGTGGGCAGCATTTTCAATGTGCCCTTGGTCAACAGGATGGCATCCACTTATATCAAGGACTGCTACCTATTCCTTGCTCGCACCCCAAAGATGAGTTTCCAAAGCTCTTACCGTGCGAATGGCCCATTTGAGGACTTGCCCGAAGGCTACAGTGCGACCAAGTACCTGTACCCAGAGCACCTTGACATTCGTTGATGCCTTCCACTTTGTTGGCCGCTTGAAGAACATCCTGCAGCATTCTATGTTGGCTCCTGGCCGCAGCAATTCTGTTGAGGTATCAGCTATCCAACGCCGTCAATGACGATGGTACTTACACGGATGGTGGCTGGTACATTTGCGAGGATGAAGAGAAGGCCTTGCTTTCGGTGCGAGTGCTTAGCCTGACATGAGAACGAGGCAATTGAAACGGGCGCAGGTTTGTTGAAAGGATTGTCTTGTAGGGGTCCTGGAAAGCGCCCGAGACCACTTCAGGCTGGGCTACTCAGCGACTACCGGGTGAGGCACAACGAGGCCATGTATCCGCAGAAGAACGTCCGCATGCAGGTGGCGCTTGGCGCAGGGATTATTGCGATGAGAGAGCGTGTTTGTTTGCATTTGGCGAGTGCGTTGAGGTTGTGCTGAGTGGAGCAAAATAGAGAGAGTGGGGATAGAGAGAGTGGGGAGAGAGCGAGGGAGTGGAGGGGGAGAGGGAGAGAACAAGAGATATAGAGAGAGAGAGAGAGTGAGATAGAGAGAGAGAGAGAGATTGGACTTGGTTCTGTTTTTATGTTGAGCTTGGCAATACAAACAACCCCCGGAATTCCAGTCTGGAAGCCCACAGACCTCTTCAGATGGCAATCTTCCAAACGTCCAGGTGCACCAAGCTAAGCCCCAGGAGTATGTTCAACAGCCCCGGAACATTCCCAGAACCCTATGAGTAGAGTGACAGATGTGTGCAATGAACTCGTAGGGATGCGTCGGTATTAGTATACGGCTTTGCAAGGGACGGTGCAATGGCAGTGGCGCAAATGGAGAAGGAGAAAGTAATAAGTATTTCAAAATGAACATTCAAGAACCAATACTATGACAATCAAATATGGTTTTATAATATAGTTGTACAAATATAAGACGATTTAAAAAGAGGACTATGGACAGTGAAATGATTTTTATAAGATGCACGGTGTCTCAGAATAATGGAATTACTGTCAAGAAATCCCTGAATGCTCATGAACCCACCAATCTATTATTCTTATCGAGATTATTTTTTACTATATATTGTTTTTGTTCATTTCTAATTTACTTCTTCATTCAAATTGTCTTTTCGTGGCTTCCTTGAGATCTCAATTGTAAACGCTGCGCGTTGCCCGCCTCGGCCAAGCCGAGCGTGCAGCGTCTGTGGTTCGACTGCAGGCAGCAGAGCTGGTCAAGTGGCGATTCAGGCATGGACAGGTTCTGGCGTCGTAGGACCAATTGATGTCGTGGCCGCAGGAATCTCCGAGGCAAGGGCAAGGCGATGCACAGGACAGGGCGAGCTGGGCTGGGCCTTGCTTGGGTTGGTTGGTGGAGGGCCTGGGCTGGGCGGGCTGGGATGCGCCAACGGTAAGACTATTGACAAGACACGTCTTATCCAGACCAGGCGTTCCCAGTCCTTGGGTTTCTATCGCCCACTGTGTGACTCTTTTTTCCCAACCAAGATATTTCTACCGGAAAAACACCTCAACCATATGCTGTATCTATAGGTGAGTCTCTGTGAGCGGGATGTCCTTCCTTCGTCCATTCCAGAATTACCGAAAGTAAGAAACATTATCATTTTGTCAGGACTCACCAACTGAACACTTAATGCTCTGGACATTTCCTGAAGCTCAACGTGCGTGGTGTTGCCTGGCATGAAGCAGAACTATGGACAAAAGGAAGCGCATTGTGATGGTAACCTCTAGACAGTTTCTCTGAGGCTGGTGTGCGGAAGTAACGTCCCCCTGCCATGCTTTCCTTGGCAAGCAAATATATCACGAGAGTTGAAGGGACGACTTAGTGACTATGGATACTTCTCTGTGGTTTTTGTGTCCAAGAGCCCAAAATGGGCAGTTTCTCACGGGGCAGAAGGACCCACGTTGAGCTGCTGCCTTTGAGGTGCTCGAATTTCTGATCTTCGCCCTTCCCGCATTCAGCGTGCTGCTGGGTGCGTACCACAGCCATTGCAGGGTTGCCGCTGCTGGGCTTTCACGGGAAGCGCCGGTGATTGTGTTCCGTTCTTGGTTTAAGAGTTTGTCGGGTGGGTTTTCAAGCGAGACCCAAAGGAAACCAGTCCTATTGAGGGTCCCCTAGTTTGAGATATGGCTGTTGGTCAAAACCAATGGTACCATTTTGGGGTAGGTGCACCACCCGTTTTAATCTAATTATTTTAGTGGGGATTGGGATGTTCACCGGGGTACGGGCTTTTGACCCATGTTGAGCTAAAGTAGCTGGTAGAATTCCCAGTGTCATGATTACCTTTGCGCATGTGCGTGCCATGTTCTGTTCTTTGATCGAGCTGCGCTTTTCCATGAGCCATGAGAGCCTTGGGATTTCAACTCCTCCAAGAAACTATCCCTGCACTCATGCTGAGGAGTGCGAGCCTTGGCAGTGGCAAGGCTTTCGTTTGGATCTCTGACTCGTAGCTTCTGAGCCACAATCACAGCCTGGGCAGACAATTAGAGTGGACATTTGATTCCAGGTTTTGATTCTGACTCCAAGCCCGTAGGATCCAAATTGCTTTGACGCTCAGCGCCGGGCAATGTTAACGTTCTCATGAGAGATGGGATCTCATTGATCCAAGCCAGGCCGTCGTTTGAAGCGGCCACTTTTGCGAAAAAGGCGAGCTTTGCTCTGTTGCTTTTGCAAGGGCTTTTGGAGCAGTAAGTTTGACGGTTGGGCAGCAGCTTAAAAGACTACCTCATTGGGAGGCACTTTCAAGACTGGTGTCTTGGCTGCTGACAGGAATTAGTTGCTGGAGGGGGCCGCATGCTGCCAGCAGCCCAGGGCATGAGAGTTTTTCATCATTCGAATATCGCCCAACCACGTTGCAGCTTGGAAAGCAGCTTTACCCTGTCATTTACAAGGCAATCCAGCGTGTGACCGCTGACCGCTCTCTGTCTCTCTCTCTCTCTCACACAAATGTGCCCGCACAAGGACCACGTTTCAAGAATCAGGCTATCCGGCTCACGAGTCATAATCTTGACCCGACTTGGTTTGCGCTGCACCATCGACGCATTGTTCATTTTATCGCTGGGCAAAACTCTGGTCCTTTGAGGTCGGGTGGAATCGTACCTATACCTGCTTGCTCAGGTCCAGCATCGAAGGTTCCTTTGGAGAGATTACCGGATTCGGATGAGAAAGCCCGCTGTGGACTGCCAGAACGTGTGTTCTGCCATGTTTCCGCAAGGCACACTCAAGGAAAGGGTCATAACCTCAAGCTCAGACAGGAGAGTCCTTCCCTCAATCCGGTAAGCGGACGTTTGCAAGGGGTGTCAGCTGCTTGTGGCAGGCTCATCATTCATCAGGTTCTGTGACCCGCGAAGCTTCTAATTCGTGCTCGAGGGACTACTTGCGCAGCAAGAGCCCCGAAGCCAAGACACAACAACCACAGCCATCCATCGTGCCCTGCATGGTCCACAGTACCTCCAGCATCCCATGGTGTTCTTTGCTCGAAGCAAGTCCATATACGAGCCAGAACCACCGATTTGAAGCCCCAACCTGTTCAACTGCTGAAGCCTTGAACAGTAAAGCTAGAATGTGGAAGCGGATGGTGACAAACAAGCCTGCCAGCGGCTTTGACATCCGAATCACTGCAGCATTGCCATTGTCGCCTGCTTGCAGTCGCTGGGCAGCTCGGCGCAATCTTCCACAGGGTCCGCAACTGAGATTTGTCATGGAGTGCCCATATCCCGTTCCTAGGCTTGCCATGGGCGGTGGCCACTCGCGAGAGGCGCCACCCTTGAACCTTCCACAGCAGGAGGCCGGGGAACGGATCTTGAAGAGATGGTGGCAAAAAGGCAGGAATATCTCGTTCTACGATGCATTGGAACACTGTGCCTTTGCATGGCTTTTGCCCATCTGGGTGAGATGGCTCTCTCAGTTTATGAATCCGTTTCTTTGAGAGTCTCTTGACGTGAATGAATGCAGTCAAGGAAGCCAGCGGGAAACCTGCCCACTTTCCAAAGATGCACTCATTACCTCTCAGATTTAAACCAACGGCTTTGAAACCGCGCATGAGAGTTCCCGCTTGCCACACCTGCTCGGACCTCGATGTCTCCGCCAGGTGGTGAGCCTGCACGGGCACGGGCCACCCCAGGGAGCCCATGGATCGATGGACCGCCAGGGGTACCTGGCCGCGGCCAACGCCGCCGCGCGGCTGGCGCAGAAGTGCGAGACGGGACAGGCGATGGCGGTGCGCACGGGGAAGAGGATCCCCCGAAATGGGGCACTCTCAAGTGGGAGGGTGGGGTTTCGTCTTGGTTTCCCCTTGAACCAGCCTGAAAAGGGTATCCTGAAAACACAAACGCACAAACTCACACACACAGACATGCAGGCACACACACACACACACCCATGGGATTCCCGGGTGGTGGGCATGTGAGTAAAGGGCCGATATTGTTGGTAGTCTATTGTGTTTGTCCCCGGCCAGGGATGTAGTTCCCCTTTCCTCCGCCTCAGGTGAAGGTACAGCTGGCTTGGCTTCCTCACTCCTTCCATTTGCAGAAGGCGTGGAGTTGGATGCAAGCACGAGATGCTCAGTCGCTGCATTGTTTTTGAGGGATACTGGGATCCTGGTTGCAATCACACCTTGGTTAATGTGTATGGCCCCTTCTCGGCAAAGATTTCCTTGAGGCACTGCCTCCAGCGATACTTGTTCTCAGCCAGATTCAATTGTCCGAGTTCTGTTATCCATTGGAAGGGATGGGCATGAAGCATTTGAGATGGACAGCCAGCACCGTCATTGTAGGGATATCCATCAAAAGTATTGTGACCTGAGATTTGCCGATGTCAGATGCAGAGGAAAATTCCCCAACTCCCCTCACCACTTGCCGCTGCGAAGCGCATTCACCTTGAGTTCCTTTGAAAAGAGCAAAGCACAGCCCTCAAAATAGGCATGTTGCCTTGCAAGACAGATCTGTTCCAATGTAGCATTCTTCATGTGGATCGCCCTCGAGCTGGTCTCGCTCCCAGGGCCCGAGCCGACACCTCTGGGAGCTGGAGGGCAGCTTCACAGCGGAAGCGCCCTGCACGCTGAAGGTCATCTTCCACTGCCGCGAGAGGAGAGCTGGGGGAGGTGAGGAAGCTGGGGACGGTGGGGAAGGTGGGGGAAATCAGGGGGAGGTGAGGCATCAAGACATCAAGGCCTGGGAAAAAGCGAGGTTGGCAGGGGACAGACCATGAGGTTTGCCGCCCCCTTAGTCGCCCTCTTCGATACCAGGAATTGATTGTGACTCACATGGGACTTGGGATATGAAGGCGGGAGGGGAGTATTCTGTGGGTCGGCGAGGCTGCTTCTGGGTTTGAGGATGTCGTTATTTTGTGAGGGGTATGTCGCTTTGCGTGGTTCACAAGGTTCGCAACAGTAGAGGAAATATCCTGCACGTGTTGGAGAGGCACAGCAAGCACAACACGACTTGACCGAAGCACAGCTTTGGCTCCTTCACATGCAACCTGCTAACACATAAGATGGAACAGAACCTACGGTTTTTGTGTGGGCAAGGGGCTGCAGAAAGATAGACTTTCCCAGGAGCTCCAGTGACAGTAGCACCCTGAGCTACGATGCGGCGGCCGCTCGGCGGGAGTGTGATGCGAGTTCGATCCGCCGTAAGGGGGTTCCATAGTCTGATGGCAGCAATGTTGCTGCTGTTTGTGGCGGGGTGCATGTTTGGTCGAGTGTGGCTTTGGCTCCTGAAGACAAATTACAGCCATGAAATCACTAAACCCTAAACTTCAAGGATTCTGTGACCTCGAATCCTGAAGCTCAAAAGCCCCAAGCCACAAATCACTATACCCTGAACAGTCCTGAAGAGAAGACCAAAACCTAAAGACTCCGCTAAACCCTAAACCCAAGCTGCCCCTAAAACTTGCAACATCAAAAATCAACCTCAGAACCCTGCAAAATTCAACCCGCTCAACCCAAGCCTAAGAGCAAAACCGATACCCGCAGACCTCGCCCGAAACAAGCCCAGCATTTGACCCCTGAACCCAATCCCAGAATCACGAAACCCAAAAACCCGGAAATCTGAAGCCCGAAAGCCTACCTGAAACCCTTACCAAGAACACCCTAGACTGCTTGACCAGGGCCAGCATACATATTACTGGTTGGACCTGCTCTTCCCAAGACGCACTGGACCCTGTACCCAAGCTTTTGTGGAAAGGTGCGTAAGCGCGCAGAAACGATTTGGAATTACCTGAACAGGGCCGAAGAGGACTCGTGCAGAACACGTGGTAGTTGCCGGATTTCGTGAATCAGGAAGCTTGAAGGCAAGCAAATCGCATTTGCAGTCACAGAGCTCTGGGTGCTGAACGAACACGTGGGCACGCCGAAAAGTGAGCTGTCCATGCTCATGTGTTCCCAAGGACTCAGCGGCGCCTGCCGGGTGGAGCTGCCAGTTCCCGGAAGGCCGGCGGTCTCACTGAAGCTTCAGCCATCTGTGGATAGTGGCACTCTACACACCTCACATGGGTCACAGCATGTCACAGCATTGGACACGAGCTGAGACCCGACTACTTTCTCCGTCAAAAGGCATCTTTGAGCCCCCTGTGCTTGCTTCGTTGGTGAAAATATGATAGGGAAGCACCAGCTGCGCCTGGCGGGCGACAAGGCCATCGACTTCCAGCGCTGGCCTCTAGAGGCGCGACGAGAGGGATTTGTTCGTTCAAGCATGTCACTATTTAGTTTTAGTCTTCATATTTCGACTAGGGTTGCTTCACTTTACTTCACTGAAGGCATTTTACACCTCCCCCATGCTCTCTTTCTCTCTTTCTCTCTTTCTCTCTTTCTCTCTTTCTCTCTTTCTCTCTTTCTCTCTTTCTCTCTTTCTCTCTTTCTCTCTTTCTCTCTTTCTCTCTTTCTCTCTTTCTCTCTTTCTCTCTTTCTCTCTTTCTCTCTTTCTTTCTTCTTTCTCTCTCTTCTCTTTCTTTCTTTCTTTGTTTTCTCTCTCTCTCTCTCCCTCTCTGTGTTTAGCTCTTTCGCTCTGTTGCAAGGCCCATGCTTCCTAGGCGGACGGGCTTGAAGTTCCAACCTGCTCGCAAGGTCTTTTGGAAGCTCAAGCAGCGGCGCATGGACGTGATTCCCATTGTCTTGAGCTTGGAAATGCCAGGCACGCGCGCGCCGGGTGGGTCGAAGTTTAGGGCAGGGGCGGGCATCTGGGTTTGCTACGAAAGGGAGGAGCTTTTCTTTACCAACAAGGGAGATTGTTGTCGCGGGAGGCAACCAGGTGACGCTTGTTTTTGGAGCCATCACTTCGAGTCGTTTTGCATGCGATCAATCCGTTCAGCCCGCTGACGTCAGGTGTCCAGTCTGTGGTTCATCTCAGCCTGGACGTGCCAAAAGCTCCTGACAAGGCTAGAGGGCACTGGCTGTGGCTGCAGGGTTATTAAACGTTTTGCTGCGGCAATATTAGCCTAAAACGTCACGCTGCACAAGCTGGATTGAGCCGGCAGAGGTGCACACAGGTTTATCTAGGAAACTGATTTCTTGGGCTGCGAAGATGGCATGCACACAAAGCAGGACATGTAAACTGGTTGCCGAGATGAACGAGCGCCATAGTGCATACGGCCAGGAGACCATGCTGAATTTGCAATGCAAACTCCTACGACAAAAGGTGGTGATTGACCAGCAGGAGTCTTGGCTTGAAAGATTGAAACGAACTGGCAGAGATGGGCCATGCACATGAGTGAGTGGACAGTCAAAAGGCCATCAACAATGCCAAGATTTCTTCGTGGCACAAGGTCCTGTTGGCACAGTGGTTTGGCTCAAGCCTTGGCGCCTCGTGAGCCGGTCATGGACACCAAGCTGACACAAGACCTGGAGGACAGACACCTAATCTTGAATTTTACCACTTAGGTGCATTCTCCGATATACATCTAATGTAGGTATGTGTCTTGGGATCCCAAACTATGGGGTACACACAGGCTTTATCAGGGAGTATATATATAATATATAATATACATAATATATAGATGGCACGTTGTTCCCTGTGCAGGATGCACTGTGTGGGAACAACCTGGAGGCAGGCACTGCAGGTGATATTGAGTCCATGTACGCATCGGGGGTGTGAGGGCAAAGCCCTGTTGGACAATCGCGTAGTTCTCAGTCCGAAACAGCTCCTCATTTCCCTGCCCGGATGGCGAACAACGGTCGAACTGTTGGGCCAGGCCATTTTCCTGGCCTGTGCTGCCTGGAGCGCACAGCAGGAGGGGGCACGGCTTCCGGTGAGCCCACAGGCAAGCAGCTCTTTGCTGTGGGGGGAGGATGTGGGGGGGGGGGGGGGCGGGTTTTAAGAGAAACCAAAGGAAAGCAGCCGTCTTTAGGGATTCCCTAAAATAAGGAACAACCACATGGTGGGTTTTTTGGAGTGGTGGTATTCTGACAACTATTGTTTGCCACAGCCAGAACACACGAGAACAACTTAACCCTCAGGTCTCTTAGATTCCTTGCCCGCCTGTTGCTTCGTCAGGAGATTGGCGACACTGACAGCGAAAGAGCATTGTAACGTTGGAATTTTTGGGGCCTTCGCTTCACAATCCCATCTGTGACTGCCACATGTTGCAATATCAGCACTGCCATGTTGTGGAATTGTTGCAGCAACTGATGCGGCATCAAGTTCAAGAGCGTTTGCACAAGGATGTACTCTACCTCCCACTAGCGCGGCGCCTGACAGGGTGTCCCCTTGAAAACATTGATAGTGCAGGATGTAATTGCAAACCCACCAATCAAGGGTTCCAGAGTCATACCTGCAAGGTCATACTCCGAAATTGAGGGGATTGACTTGCTGATGTGCGGGACGTGGGGGACGTGGGGGACGTGGGGGACGCGTGGGGGACGGGACGCGCGGGATGTGTGGGACGTGTGGGACGTGTGGGACGTGTGGGATGTGTGGGACTTGTGGGACGTGTGGGACGTGAGGAGTTGGTCTTACAAAAGGGCTACACGGGTGGTAGTGGCGCCGAACTTGGTGCAAACTCAAGGGGACGACTTTGGAACTGTTTCACCAAGATTCGCCTTAACGTGGCCAGATGCAGCCCCTGAGCGCTACGTCGATACAGCGCCTCATGGACCTTGCGGCACCCTGGCTCGTTTGGGGGGGTTGTGGGCTTTGCTCAGAAAGCCTGTTTTAGTGCTTTCAAGAACATTGGACCTCTAAACGGGCATGAAAACAAAGGGGCTTACGGTAGAATGCAGGCAGCACGGACCAGTCATTCATCCCTTTGTCACTTTGTCACCGACACATGTCACTGGCCCCACACAGCCCCACACTTCAAAACTGGCATTTCGATATTCGCCCCACTGACCATCCGATTTTTCCCGCTTTGGCTAAAGGTCCTTTGCTGCGAGAAGAAGGATGCGGCCAATTGCTATGTCGTGTCCAACACGGTGCTGCACCTAGCTGCATTGACCGCCACCCGGGAGGCCGGACCAACTTGGAAGCCAAAAGCATCAAGGAGTGCGCAACGAGCTACCAGGAATGCATTGAACAAATATTGAACATCACGTTTCCGTTGCTTCACATCATTTGTTCTATTCTTTCTTCAGACAGTCGGGTTCTTCAGCTTGTGCAAAAGCTCGATCCCACCGAGTCGAGGTCTCCAATTTCGGTATCTCAGAGTTTGCGATGTTCAGTGAAACACATGGCATCTGGGAGAGCCAACTGGGAGATAGTTCGAGTCTTGCAGGCGGTGAAGATGATCCTCACCGGCCTGAAGAGGGCTCTGGGGCCGGCCTTGAAGACCTTCCTCGGGGAGGAGGCACGCAACAAGACCCTGGTGTGTTGCTGAGGTACCCTTTTCGTTGGGTTGGTTTAAAGGAACCGTACAGGAAGCCACCAATCTTGGGGTCCCCTTTTTTGACACAGTCCCACATGGGACTTTCACCATTGAGAGCGGTGCACAAAAAGAATCAGGAGAAGGACATGGCGGACCAGATTCAGCTGGCCATTTGCGTGCAGAACTTCTGCAACTGCGCCCTGGTGCTTTTGGATAAACCGCGGGGCTCCCACGTGGGCGCCGCGGACGCGGACGGCTTTCTGCCGGGCTACTGCGGGCCGCTCTTCGACGACCTCGGCGCAGC